TGCTTATTGCCATCATTAATAATATATATAGAGCTTATAATACACACATATGGAAAGCATCTGGTAAAACAAGATCTTGTTTCACCAGCAGAGCTCCAAGGTACTAGGGTAAAACAAATAAGCACCCCTACACACAAACATACTCCACACACTCACCCATTTAGAGTCATCTGGAATGTCACTGACCCGGGCAGGACCCAAATTCCTTTGGCATTTCTAGCTTACTCTCTGAGTTTGTCTGCCAAAACTGCAGCTAACCATAGACATGCTTTGCACATTATTAAGCTACTAATATGTTGTTACTGAAGTTAGGAGTCATTGGAAGATACAGTACTTTAAACCACTTGCTATTCAGATAAGATTACACAGGCATATATTTACATGCACACACACAGAGAGCATGCACAAACAGGCCCCAGCAACAGTTTGTCATCTCCAAATTAGTCTCAATATAATAACATATTTTGTCTTGCCAAAAGCAATGAGCAATATTTGATGAAATACAGAGAACCCTTTGCACCAAGGAACTCAAACTAACCAAAAATGAGAAGTGGATCACAAGCCTTGATCGCAAGTACGATCACAACCAAGCAGGTGATTTTTTAAAGGAAAATAAACCTCTTTAAGAAGGAACCTCTTTAAGAAGGAAAAGAGCTGCTGGAAAAGAGATGCATGATCTGCAGAGTGGCCAGAGGCTCTAGATTAAATACAGAGATCGTAATTTGATGAGAAAACGTACCTTCAAATATCACTTCATGCTACTTGCCCAAGGAATCAGTCCAGGACTTAACGCAAGCGGGTCAACACTTGTATGGGGATGCATTTTAATATGACTTACGCAAGACAGAAGTAATTATACAGATTAATTTTAATTAAAGAAAGAGAATGTTATTCTTCATTATACTCTGCTTGCATACAGTACTACAGTAAGCATTTCTCTGCTCACAACATAGCTAAGAGTACATACCAACATAACTTAACACCTTTTTGGCTAACTTTGATACGCAGTTCTAAACACGAGGAAGAAAACAAAATCCACATGTATTCAAGCCATCAAGGAAAGAGCTTTCGAGAAAAACAAAGAAAACGAGTAACTACAATTCTACAAGTGCTCCTGAGGTCCCTCCAAAACATATTCCCCAAACCAATACATTCATACCTAGGTTAGATTAGCGAAAAGATATTCAGTCAATCCACACTAACGTTAATTGCTTTAGGATAGAAATCTGGTTCAAGGAATGCTTTGCATTGTATGTGAAGTCTCACTTGCAGCATTCAGACAGGTTCACTTAATCATGTCAATGGAGGTGGGGAGGAGTTTTGTTAATATTTTTAATATTAACATTTCTGTTAACATTTTAATCTGTTTAATATTTTTTCACCCATTCATGCTGTAGAGCTAGGAAACATTACTGTATTAATTAGAAATACTCAAATTTCCCAAATCTGGTCGCAAGCCTTTCATTTGCCAGGAAAGCACTTTTCAGAGACTGGAAAGATTCAGCACTGCTCTATACTAATAGCCGTTTGGCTGTTGTTTAGTCCACAACACAAGATAAAAGAAAAAAAATTTAAAAAAGCAGGGGAAAAAGAAGAATACAATAGAAATTTACAAACAAAAAAAACAAACTTCATAGTTAGGATAGTTTACTGACAAAGAAAAAAAACACTGAATGTTCTATAAACTGGAGTAAGCAGGAAAAAAAATGAAAGGCTTTTGTATCACTGTTAGTCAACCCTTTGGATAACTATGCAAATGTGTTCGACTAGAATGCTTATCTGCTTTGCTCTGAATTAAACTGAATTGCACTGCAGGGAAAGATGAAAATGTCAAATCAGAGCTCAAAAGGCTGTTCCTTTAATAAGTTTGAGGTAGTGCTCGAAAGATATGGAGAGTCATACGCTCTTCAGTTTACTGCAGAATATGCACTTACTCTGACTGCAGAAATTAACCGCTGATTGCCCTTGCTTCATAATGAAATGCACTATCAAAGCTGCAGCCTAGCTACAACCATATTTACTAGGCACGGAGGCACCCAGGGGCTCCCCCACCCACCTCTTCAACTCTTCCTTTCCTTTGTGCTACGGGTTTTGTAGAGCTCATTAAGAAACACATCACTGTAACTGAGTATAGACTACTGAGGTGGACAGTCTATGAGGACAAAGCGACATCATCATTCAAGCATCCCTGTGTGTGTCAATCATTTGTTTTTCAGAAAAAAATTTCAGGCACTACATTCAGAGCAGGATACTAGTGGAGGACACATGTTTTGCAAGAGAGGGCTAAACACACACCCGGACAATGGCTGCCACATACTAAAGAAAACTTATCTAACCATTACAACACCCAGTTACGGCTTTTTTCTTGCAACAAGCAGATGATTCATTGCTAGATAAACACTAAATACTACAGAGTGACCAATCTGGAGCCTTTCCCCTTGCCTCCTTTCTCTTGACACGTAGCTTTCTTTTAGCTGATAAGATATTATAGTCTGGAAGGAACCTGCAATCTGCACAAAGAGCTATTATTTTCTGAGGACAAACTGTTAAAAAGCAAGATTTTCTCATTAATACACAAAGGAATTTTATCTGTTTTTAACTAAAGCCTTTTATTCTCCCCCTTCTGCCCCCAGTGCCAACTTCAGAGAAAGACTTGCTCACTTTTATTCAGCAACTTTGGGGAGAACTTACCAGAAGTGCAGCACTAGAATTTGGCTCTGAAACAGTTGGTTTATTTTTCTTCATATTAATAGTACTTCACCATATTGGAGTTCTAGCATTGCAGGGCTGGCAGTGCAACGGGTAACTTGTAGTTCTACTTTTTCCAAAACCTCTGCTTTATAAAGTCCATGTTGGAAATTAAAATACAAATGGATTCCTATTAAATTGAAACTGTTTGGAGTCATGACTCCACTCCATGCAACTCTTTTTGCTGTTCCCATCCCACAGGTCTTTAAAGCAATTAACAATCAAAATGTGCCAGCAGCCCAGAAGTATGGTTCTGGCACCAACAAAAGGGGCTGCATAATATTAGCAAGGGGCTCCTTCTGAAATTCCTCACAGAAACCTTTAGAAAATTATCTCAGGCAGGCAATACTACTTTATTGGAACCAAAACTATTACAGATCAAGGCAAAAGGAAAACTCGCTCAGACTCATCATGATCTTGTGCTCTATTTACAAGACATGCAGTAAAAATTCTTAGCACCTATGGAGGTAAGGTCACTTTGACACACCTTTTGTACCCATCCAGCTCTGCGCTGCAAGGACTCAAATCCAAAGCAAGCTACCAAACGTGTTTTTCTATTTCCACCTCCAAGGCCTGTTGCTTCAAAATACTGGTTCCCTCCTAGTACACTGCTTCTTACACAGAATCTGATAGAGGGTCTTCAGACAGCTCCTTTAGTAAGCAGGCTTCCTTTTAACAATAGCAATAATTCTTGCCAAGTTGAAAACAAGTATATACTAAATAGTTTAGGATCAACCTCCAAAAAAATTGATAAAAGAGATATGTTAAAAATATATACATACACTGTGTGTGTATACATATATATATATATATATACACACACACATATATATAAACTGCTACTCCAGAGATCCCTACAGTAATGGTGAATAAGCGAGGTATTTTACATTTAACTGGTCATCTGCAGAGTATGTGACTTAGTTCAGCATCACACATACAAGAAAAAGGCCATATTCCATCCATGCACCAGTCTCATTTCCTTCTCAATCTCTTAGGGGGATCCTAGGGTGTTTGAAAAATACAAGAGGGGGTGAGGGAGGAGACAGGGAAACAGATCCATTTAGAACTAGAAAGTGGTGCTAATATCTCAAAGTGAAAACAGCAGCTATGCTTCAGATGAACAGACAAAAGCATTCTTTTACTAGGAGGTAAAACACGCATGTGGCAAGTAGACAGACTGATTTATTAAGATGGAATAACAGGAGTTGATCATTAACCAGACTCAACCAGTACAGAGGATCAAAACCCCTGTTCCTGGACCTATTGAGTTTTCCCAAGATTTGCTTCTGCCTAAGGTCCTTCCCACAGGTATCCCATGGAGAAAGGCAAGTATGTTCACTTCTGTACAGCCAGGTCCCACTCCCACAAAGGCTCCTGGCATCTGGAGAGACCTCAAGCCATTCATGAAAACACAGAGGTCTTCAAATCTCACGTCCTCCTCCACAACTGTGCCCCTGGAATTCTGCCTCCATCACCGGCATCCCTTAATTGGGCTCCTTCCCTGTGCAAAAAAGCCCACTACACAACCGAGTGCCTAACCCACTTTAGGGTACATCACTGCTTATGCGCCAAAGAATAGCACAGCCTTTCTCTTTGCCCCCCTCCTCCACTTTATGCCTTGGTGAGATTTTGTGGATGCCAAGAGGGCATTACATACAAGGGAGAAGAGAAAGTGAGGGAAAACAGCACTAAAGAGCAGGTAGCAGTACCAGAGGCAGCTGTTACCTCTGTAGCCTGTGCATCTAGGACAATCTCTTCAGGACTCCTGTGAGTGATTAGATTGAAGGACAGGACTGAAACCTGAGAACATAATGCAACTGGAAAAAGTTAAACAAATAAATAGATGGCTGCTCTTCTGAATTCTAGTAAGTTAAAGAGGAGAAAGCCTTCATGCCTCAGTGAGTCAGGGTCACTTCCTCATTTGGAGGTTGAATTCTCGCAGCATCGGTCACTCAGTGCGCACACACCACTCATTCACACACACGCTCCTAGCAGAGCCCGCACAGACACAGTCTTACTCTGGAATCGGCCTGAAAAGCATAGTAATACAAGCACATCGCTATATGTGCCCAATTACCTACTACTAAAGAAAAACATGGCATATACTGTTGTAGAAAGGAAGGAAATGAGCTGCGGTCACATACATATTTAGTCCAGGGGGAATTCCACAGTCACGGATTTCTGGAAGCTTAACACCAATACAAAATTAACTGCTTTGAACAACAGGAAAGTAAACAGAGCACGTTACTCACCTTTGCATGAAATGCCTTGGCCGTCAATTACTTCTTTGCAGATTCCACAAATTTTGGATTTCTTAAAGGTCTTGTTTTTGAAGGTGTGAGAATTTGAAGCTGCTTCTTCAGGCTGGAAGCAAGGGGAATAATGTCAGAATTTTCCTCAACTTCTGAGTGCTACTTTTAAATCAAATATAAGAGTGTTATGTCAAGAGTAGTATAAAAGTAATATGTCAACAGATAACGTTCTCTCTCTTTCTCATTTGAGAATAAGAACTTTCCACTCTCAAATGCAGGAAGCCTCAAGGTGGAAGGTACCTCTCACATATTACGGCGCAGACCCTGCAAAACATTTTGTATCATAACCCTAGAAGTCTCTATAACTTAATCTTCTAAGAGCAAATACAGATTAATCTCTATGTTATGAACCAACAGCCTTCTAACTCAAGGCGTTATCTACGTAAAAAGATTGCACTGGTTCAGCTTAAATTGGTCAAAAAAACCCAGCATAAGTAATGCTGTATTTACCATGGAAAAAAAATTCACTTATCTTGTGCAAATACAATTTTTTTTATTTAATAAATAAAATGTAAAGCATCTATGCAAGCTAGACTTTGGCACAGATTACCAACTTTAAAAATCATTTTTGCTTCTGTAAAGAAGCATAAGTACATGAGTTTAATATTATCTCCATAGTGTGGCACAGTAACTGAAATACCATGTTAAAATATGGCGTAATAATGAAATCCCTGATCAGAGATAGAACAGCAACAGTCAAAACAATATACGCAATGGATTTTATGAAGTGGTCTCTATTGCCTAAGAAACATTAGATAACACATTAGAGGGGGCTACTGAAAGCCTCTTACAGAGACAATTCCCTGCCTTCCCTGGAAGGGTGTAACAACCTTTGGTTTCATTGGCTGACTTAATTCTTAATAAATTTTGAAACTGAAGGATAATTAATCTTCCTCTGTCCTTGCATTAACACTAGTATTCTGGTTGACAAACAAAGCAACTACATGGAAAAGGGAAGTGCTTCATGAAACGGACGCGCCCACTGAGGAAAGTGCAAGGGCAGCAATAGCATAGTAATTATAGGACAAAACAAGTCCCCTCTTTAGAATTATCAGTTACTTAAAAATCGAAATACACTGCCCCAGACTATGAAAATCCTCAAATAATTCTTTGCACTTCTCATTTTCATTTCACATTTGAACATTTACTGTTCTTAACCTTCAGTACACCATAAGAGGGCTTGCATCCAACATTGCAACACTTGTACTGAGCTACCTTGCAGCACACATGCCCAGCAGCTGAAAGCTGTCCCTCCCCACGCAGCCAGGCCAGGCTGCCACACTGCTAAGCCTCTATCCATACGCTGGAAGAGGAAAGCTTGCCAGCCTGGTGCAATGCCCAAGTCCAAAGCAACAAGGTAACACGGGATTTCTTTGTGGCTTTAAGGAATTCACCAGGTGGCTCTAGGCAACGTTTACCATCTCCGACCACAGGTACCAACACAGCAGCTAAGCAGGCACAGGAACAGCTATAAAACTGATGCGTCCCAGGATTCAGCCACCTTCCAACCAGTGCCTCCACAAGGGCCTACAGGAAGTTTCAAAGAGTCTGTAGGAGCATGTGTGGCAGCACGGGAATCTGGGCAGGCCTGGCCACCCAGAGCCCACAGGCTCTAGAGGTGACCCCAGCTACGTCCCAGGCCAGGCTCATCACTGCATACAAAACGTGAACCTCATCTTAAGACTAGCTTCAGGGAACGCTGCATTGGTCTTAACTTCATTGTAAAGCCTAGGTAATTAACAGATTTCCATAAACACCAGGCATTACTTAGCCTGAAGTAATTACTTAGAAATTGCTTAGAAGGAGGAATAAAACTTAGGCTGGACTTTCAGAAAACTCCTTCTACCAGTGAAATGTATTCATCAGCACAACTTATTGAGGAAAACAGTCAAAAAGTCCATGTTCTTAGAAGGAAAATTTGAGAAACAAAATTGGAATGCAACTACAATGCCTTAATTAAACCTTTAGATCACTAATTGTAGAAGCTGAAGTCACAAAATTTCCCTGTATCCCCAATTTCTAAACCTCTTGCTGGCATTTGTTTTCTGTCACTTCATACTAATTGAAAGTTGTCATAATGGTGATTAATATTAAAATTACACCATAAACAGAAAGAGGAGCTGTGCCTCAGCATTATACAGGAACATACCTGTTCACAAAAAGTGATTTGTTATTTTCAAAAAAAAAATCTCTGCTGACTTTTGACTGACTTTTTTCTCCATTAGAATATAGATGTTTTGGAAAAGACTAAGGAGGTTAAGAGCATAAATGTCATTATATACAGGCAACTCCACTAATCTGATTCAAGGAGGTTCTGAACCCCAGTGGATTTAGCCTCTGTGCCCAAAGATCCGAGTCCCCAGATCCTTGGCCTCTTCTGTGCAGAAATTAACAACATCATCACCTCACATACATCACAGACTAGCTGCAGCTTCTCTCTGCTTTGTAGCTTTATAGATATAGAGATAAAACAAGTGAATTCTTGCTTTAGGGTTTATCCACTCCTCTATCCCTCCAACCTTCTATTTTTGGGTAAAGTTTACAGGCCACTTCTGAGACACTTTCAGAAAAGGGTAGTTTTGCAGAGTTTGCATTTTCAAAGAATTTCTGAGCAGCTGAGGCATATCCAGGAACGTTTAATCTGTATCTAGACCCCATTCTCCTCATTTCCCACATCTCGAGCGCTTCATCCCAAGCTCTGACATTTGTATTGTTTCAAAGAAATGTAACTGTCACAAGAATCCATTGTTCTGATATGAATCTTAAGTTTAAATAGGTCTTGACTCATTAATTAATCAACTAGTCAACCTGCTTATTCCACTTGTAAGTCAAAGTAATTTTCCTCATAGACATTTTGGAAGTGATATGCACCACAGCCTTTGCATCTGAATTAAGAAGCACACACTTTTTGTGTTCCTTGTTCATTTTAAGCACATTCCACTATGGATTCACCAAGGAATTCACTTAAACAATTCATTTAGGAGATGCAGCAGTAACAACTGCTCATGCATAATCTTCTGTGAAACATGGAGGAGCCTACATCGAGGTTTCCTTGTTGTCACCTGGTACGGCTTTCGCAGTCCTCCCCTAAGCAGGATGCCAAGCAGAAGAAAAAGAAAACCACCATGGGAGGGAGCAGCAATACCCCTACTTTTGTGAGGAGCAAGGCTGGAATCTAAATTGTATGCAATCGTTAGGGTCAAAAATTGGAATAAAAGAGTGCAGAACCACAGGTTACAGCCTTTGAGTTTTCGCCTGAGGAAGAGGCTGCAATTATGGCTGGTTTCAATTGCTAGAATTATGAGATGTCTCTTTTTCAAAAGGTAAACTGTCTTTTGTTTACCACACAAGGAAACATTTTTGGCCAGACTCTGCTCTCTACAGCACAGAGAAATCCAATAAGGGCTGAAGGTTTATCCTAGACTCACACGAGCATAACAGGGCATAACAGATTGAGTGAAGATTTAGATGGGTATCCTCAGCTACGACGAATTTCAAATACTCATCACCAGGAAATTTCACTATGTAGCAGCACACTGATCATCAGGTAAAATTCACACCAGCTCTCTCATAGCAATTTGCAATTCTCTCATAGCAAGGCTTTTAACACTGTCTCCCATCACATCCTCCTAGGTAAGCTCAGGAAGTGTGGGCTAGATGAGTGGACGGTGAGGTGGCTTGAGAACTGGCTGGCTGGCCGAGCTCAGAGGGTTGTGGTGAATGGCACAGAGTCAAGTTGGAGGCCTGTGGCTAGTGGTGTCCCCCAGGGGTCAGTCCTGGGCCCAGTCTTGTTCCAATATATTCATCAATGACCTGGAGGAAGGGACAGAGTGCACCCTCAGCAAGTTGGCTGATGATGCTAAACTGGGGGGAGTGGCTGACACACCAGAAGGCTGTGCTGCCATTCAGAGGGACCTGGGCAGGCTGGAGAGCTGGGCGGAGAGGAACCTCCTGAAGTTCAACAAAGGCAAGTGCAGGGTCCTGCACCTAGGCAGGAATAATCCCAGGCACCAGGACAGGCTGGGGGTTGACCTGCTGGAAAGTAGCTCTGCCGAGAAGGACCCGGGAGTGCTGGTGGACAACAAGTTAAACATGAGCCAGCAACGCGCCCTTGTGGCCAAGAAGGCCAATGGTCTCCTGGGGTGCATTTAGGAAGAGTGTTGCCAGCAGGTCGAGGGAGGTGATCCTGCCCCTCT